TTTTGCTTCCTGTTCCCACAACATTATATTCTGCTGGCCTAGGGGTCTTAGTTCCAGAGGAAGAAACACTGCCACCAGGAGACACAACAACAATTCCATTAAACTAGCAGTTAAGATGCCACCTGGGCACTTTGGGCTCCTCTTACCTTTAGGTCAACAGGCTAAGGACCTTAGAGTGTTGGCTGGGTGACTGACCTGGACTATCAAGATGAAATCAGTTGACCACTCCAAAATGGAGGCAAGGAAGAGTATGCATGGAATATAGAAGATCCATTAGGGTGTCTCTTGGGTGATTAAGGTCAATGGCAAACTACAACAGCCCAATTCAGGCAGGACTAAAAATAGTCCAGACCCCTAAGGAATGAGAGTTTGGGTCACTTCACCAGGAAAAAAAGCCATGGTCTGCTGAGATGCTTACTAAAGACAAAGGGAATATAGAATGGGTAGTAGAAGAAGGTAGTCATCAATACCAGGTACAACCACATGACCAGCTGCAGAAATGGGACTGTAATTGTCATGAATATTTCTTCTTTGTTAAAAAACATGTTGGTGCATGTATACACTCGTACTGAGAAAAGATCTTCATTTTATTTCCTTTTTCCTTTATCATGTGACTTAAGATTTATTGACTTCATATCAGCATTTAAGTATCATTAACTATGTAATAGTATTTGGGTTGGGGAGTGGTGCATTTCCATTGTCCAAAGGATAATTGTATTGCATTAGGCATATGACCTTATTATTGTCTTTATTTGAAGATTATGTATGATATCAGGAGATGTGTATAGGTTCAAGTTGACAAGGGATGGACTTGTGATGGTTAATACTGAGCGTCAACTTGATTGGATTGAAGGATATAAAGTATTGATCCTGGATGTGTCTGTGAGGGTGCTGCTAAAAGAGATTAACATTTGAGTCATTAATCTGGGAAAGGCAGAGCCACCCTTAATTGGGTGGGTACCATTTAATCAGCTGCCAGCAAATATAAAGCAAGCAGAAAAATGTGAAAAGGAGAGACTGGCCTAGCCTTCCAGCCTACATCCTTCTCCCATGCTGAATGCTTCCTGCCCTTAAACATCAGACTCCAAGTTCTTCAGTGAGATCTGGACTGGCTCTCTTTGCCCCTCGAGCTTGCAGTCAGCCTATTGTGGATGCTATGATCATGTAAGTTAATACTGAATAAACTCCATATATATATACATATACATTATATATATACACATTATGTATATATATATATATATATATATATATAGATTATATATATGGAGTTTATTCAGTATTAACTTACATATATATAATGTATATGTATATATATATAATGTGTGTGTGTATGTGTATATATATATATATATATTTATAATGTATATGTATATATATATATAGTTCCAGAGGGAGGAACATAGCCACCAGGAGACACAACAATAATTCCATTAAACTAGAAGTTAAGATGCTAGCTGGACACTTTGGACAGAGGGAGATATATATATATATAGGAGTTTAATAAATATATACTTATTTAGTTATTAAGTATATACATAGTTTTAGATATAACATTTTTATTTTATTTTATATAATATATAAATATTGTATATTTTATATTTCATGTATTTTATATATATATATATATACAAGTGGGAAGTTCACCATTAACATATATATATCCCTCTAAAGAACCTAATACACTCAGACTCAATAATTTCCACTGTTCTGTCACATTTGCTCATTCTTTCTTCTCTCTACTCAAATTTGCCTTTGAATCACTTTAGTGAACTTTTTATTTCACTTGTACTTTTCTGTTCCCAAATTCTTTTGGTTTTCTTTTAGGTTTTCTATTTCTTTTTCATATTTCTTTTTTGTTCATAAATCATGTTCTTGACTCTCAGTATTTTCCTTTAGTTCTTTGAGCATCTTTAAGACAGTGGCTTTAAAGTCTTTGTCTAACTGATCTGCCATCAAGTTTTTCTCAGGGATAGTTTCTGATGATTTTTTCCTTTAAATGAGCCATACTTTCCTGTTTCTTTATAGGCTTTATGAATTTTTGTTGAAAACTGAACATTTAATTATATGATAAGCGTGAAAATCAGATCCTTCCTCTTCCCCCCAATTTGCTGTTTTCTGTTCTTGCTTCTGTCTTTTTTTTTGTTGTAGGCTATCTTTGTGCCAAGGATCAGCCTGAACTAAAACTTTAGTTTTGCTTAGGTCTTTTCTGAGCATGTATCTTTCCCTCTGCCTGTACAGTCACTTTCTAATTTTCCCTGTATATGCAGTTGATTTCAAATTTTGCAGTGTTTAATATACGGTTTTCACAAGAGGAAAAATGAAAAAATGAAAGGGGTGGTGCGAAAGTGTGCCAGGCTTTTAATCCCCTGGAAGTGACTTCAGCTGAAGAGGGAGGAGCTTGCAAAAACGGGGGAGATTACAATAATAGTAGCTGCCCCTTTAATTGCCTGTATCTTTGTGATCATAAGCAGCGATGAGCAACTACAGTACAGATTCCCAGTATTTGGAAAACAAGGTTCTTTTTGCCCACCTCAGCTCCTGCAAGCTGTGTGCAAGATGCTCCAGAAACTTGTGCACAACTGCCTGCTGTTAAGGTCAATGGCAAACTACAACAGCCCAATCCAGGCAGGACTAAAAATAGTCCAGACCCCTCAGGAATGAAGGTTTGGGTCACTTCACCAGGGCTGGGGATGGAGACTTGTAGCTGCTACTGTGTTAAGAGCTGAAGTTGATGGAAATTAACTGCAGCATAAAGTCCAAGCCTTTTCCTGGAAGTTGCAAGCCTTCAATCGACTCCAGAGTTCAAAAATAGTTACATTAAACAGATTCTACCAGTGTCTGATTGTTTTCTACATAGACAGATACATTTCTCAAACTTTCTACTCTACCTTCTTCCCAGAATCCCATCTCTGAATACTTTCAGGAATATCAAGGTTTTTTATAAGAGAGGAGGCTGGATTTCAGCTATATGCATAGCTAACTATTAAAATATAAAATCTATAAGCTAACATCAATTATAAATCTATAACAAAAATGTTGCCTTCAACTATTTTCTGGAATATATCTCAGTGTATCAGTGAATAGTTCCATTTATTAGGGGAAACACTATCTGCATGACTAGAGAATGACTGAGTACTGTTGTGCATTTAACAATAAAATTAATTAAGTTAAAGGTCTCATAAACATGGCAACATGTACCTATTAAATTAACTATTTAAAAGACTAGACAAACATGATTAACCCAAAAGAAAATAGTTAAAATCTTCATAATAAAACCAAACTATTTAATTTAAATCCATATAAGGCAGGTCTTTGTAGGCAAATTTATTTCTATCCCATCTTAATATAGGTACTGCAAAATATAGGGAGTCCATATTCAGTGAAAATCCTGGAATATTAATAAGTTGATAAATTAATTTAGCAGAATTTAGAGGAAAATTATATTAGTGTATGAAGTAACATTTAGTCAGCTATAACCAGTTAAAATTATATATGACTATCGTTCTTCATCCAGTTTTAGAAAAAGTTATCAGATAACTTACACAATTTATATACCCTTCCTCTAGAAAAAAATTTTTAAAACTATATATTGTCTAACTATACATTAGTTTTCATGTATGTGGTCTTTCTTTCTGAGGCCAGGGGTGTGTATTTAATATCTGGATCAATGTGGAAAAGTATACAGATAGCATCAGAGGATACAGGAGCTCCAAAAATGACCATAAAAGATTAAATCCCTGGGAAGTCTAGGCAATAGAATGTAAATTGGGGTCAATACTATCTCCACTTTCAAAGGCCAGGAAAATCTGAGCTATCCCAAGGTAAGATTCTAAGGTCAGCTTCATGAATGAGAAAACATTTCTCCATCCTTTATAAAGGGGGCACAGATGGAATATTCTATCCTGTCTTCTGTGGTTGCCAGCAAAAGAATCTAGGAGCACATTCAAAACGTCAGACGTCAGAGCACAGAAGATGCCTCATATAAAGAAGACTGGATCACAACTACTATGAAATTGATTTATATGGCATTATTCCATACTTGAATGTTTTCATAAAAACAGCTTTCCCTCTTACCCTTTAAAAACTGAATACCAAAATACTGTTGCCAAAGATACAGTAAAAACTCATTTTAAAGTACCCCTAATTTTCACAGATTTAATTTTACTGTGCATTAAATTGCATGTTTCAAATACACATATTTACTTATTTGTAAATCTAAATATGTACACATCTATTAACAAAACAAACAAAAAACATCCAGCTGGGCACAGTAGTGTGTGCTTGTAGACTTAGCTACTTGGGAAGCTGAGGTAGAAGGATCATCTGAGCCCAGTAATTCAAGGTCAGCCATTTGAAAAAAATATATAAAAAGGAAAAAGAGAAAATATCCAAATTGAGTAAAAGGTATTCACATTTCTGACATCTACATTTTATCAAGTTTTAATGAAAGCATGATTTTCTGATTAAAAGTTTCAATATTAGAATATAAACACAGATCATTTAATTGACTTACCAACCTAACAGTCTATCCATTAATTGAAGCATGAGATTTAAAGTTTAAAAAGAGTCAAAAAGATACTGAAGAGTTAGTATAAATGAAATATTCCATTTGAAATTTGAAAAGCTGGTTGTAATCCATAATTAATTTTTCCTGTGAGCTATGGCTACAACAGAGAGTCTCCTCTTCTCAAGAGAATTCAAAAATTACCCAATGATAGTCTTAAAATTGTTTCAAAAGGCAATCACATAAAGTCTTGTTGATTTTTATTACATTGCCATTAGAAAAACAAAAGTTAAAACTCCCATAACTATTTCATATCCACACTTTCTTTGAGAAAAACACTTTAAAAATACAAATATTTGAATTTAAATAAAGAGCATACATTATTTATATAAATCTAAAAGTAAATAATTATATATTTTATGATTAAAGATAAAAATTACCATAACTAAAAACAAGTGCAAGAATAATAAAGTTTGGATGTTACTGTACCTACCTTTAATGTGATACTATAATGTCCAACAAATGTTGCACTTATCCATGATCTGGAATGGGGATCACCCAGGAATTCTATGTGATACTCTTCAACATTTCCATCCAGGTCATAGGTCACATACTTCCGTTTAAAATGGTCAGGGCAAAGTATTCCTGGCCAACTTTCAAAAGAAATTTTTAAAAATTATTTTGATGCTTTTAAGAAGGTTAACATCAACACATCTGTCACAATTATGTATTGAACTTTCTCCTCTGAATTTTCACAGAACATATATTCCTACTTCTATCTTTCAAAGGTAGGATATTTGTTTGATGCAAGTAATAAGTTGCATTTTATAGCTATAGAAAGTTCTGAAATAGTTACAAGTTTAAGATATAGATAAGACATGAGAAAAGAATGATAAAGCAAAAGAATGATCTCTAGGGATAATAAGATATTTAGACACTAATGATAGAAAAGAGAAAAAAAGAGTCATCAGATTCATGCAGAGCTGAATTAACTCTAAACAATCAGAATGATTAATCAGCAAAATGTTAATCCACTAAGCATGACTTCTGATGGAGTATGAGAGAGCTAATATTTCCTGAGCCAGGTCTATCAAAGGAACCCTGGTGGCTCAGGCTGTGATAGTGCTGTGGAGTAAAATTACTGTGGGAAAATCAAATATAAAGATCAGAAGTTCTATACTGTCCACTTCCCCCATCTACTCCATTGCCAGGTGACCGCATTGCTGAAAAATCTTCAACATTGAAAATAAAATTTATTCTTTATTAAAAACAAACATTTAGAGAGGTGCTTTCATGACATAAACCTCTACAAATTACTTGATGTGTTTCATTTTTCTCTTTGGTCTTCATTTCCCGCTTTTGCCTTTTCTATTCTTTTTTTTTTTTTTTTTTTTTTTTTTTTTTTTTAGTTTTATTTGGTTTTTCTATTTATAATATGCAGCAGAGAGTTCCTGTCATTAATATCTCTAACAAACAAAATGAAAAAATATTTCTATATGGAGTCTGAGTCAGAAATTAGAGAACAGTCCTGAAAAACCTCTGAAGTGAGAAAACTCACGCCTAAGAAGTGTTTTATCTGGTTTATCACATTCTGCTAAAAAGGAAGTTTGAAATAAACTAAAAATTTCACAGGTACATAATCACTATAAAAATTCCTCATTGTGAATGTAAATAAAAACAAATTTAGTGTCAAGAAAATCAGAATTATTATGTAACATATTTGCTCAATATTTTAAAAATAATTTCTATAATTTTAAATATTAAAATGAAAATTGATTCAAGACTATTGTAAAAGAAACTGAAGAAGAATATTACAGATACTTAAAAGTTATCCAAAAGAAGACTAGGGTGGAATTGGAAGAGGCAATGTACTGAGGCAAGTTAATGATGCCAGTGTTGTGAGAACACCTTGGAAGTTTTCATTATCAGTTTGATCCTCCCACCAACCTGAAGTGATGAATAAAGTTTTGATGTTAGGTAGCTGAGTTTTGGGGGGGGGTTCTTTTTGTTTTTTGCCTGTTTGTTTTGCTTTTGAGAGGGAGTCTTGCTCTGTCACCCAGGCTGGAGTGCAATGGTGCAATCTCAGTTCACTGTAACCTCCATCTCCCAGGTTCCAGTGATTCTCTTACCTTCGTCCCCCAAGTAGCTGGGATTACAGGTGCCCACTACAATGCCTGGCCAATTTTATACTTTAGTAGAGATGAGGTTTCAGTTTCACCATGTTGGCCAGGTTGTTCTCAAACTGACCTCAAGTGATCAACCTGCTTTGGCCTCCCAAAGTGCTGGGATTACAGGCATAAGCCACCACCCTCAGCCTATTTTCTTTAAGTAAAAACTGAGTCTTGGAGATATCCTGGAACTTTCTTAAGAAGACTGTTAATAAAAGGTGGAAACATGGTTTGAAAAAGGACTTTCTAATGCCAAAGCCCAAATGTTTTCCACTAGACTAGATCACAGTCATGGCTCAGAAGCAAGACCAGTACCAAAGGAAGGGAAACCTTAGGGAGGCTATATTCAACTCAAGAAAAAAAATAAAAGGACTTAAGAAAAATTAGCCCAAAGATTGAATATTCAGCCTCATAAGTTATATTTCCCTGCTGATTAAGTCTAAACAACTATTTGGTAAAGAGTAGCAAAGTGTGTGGTATATAGTGTATGGTGTGTGTGTGTGTGTGTGTGTGTGTGTGTGTGTAAGAATGTGCTTTGCTTATTGAAGTGGGGCAACCACATGATCTGTGAAGATCTTCTCTAGCTCTATGATAAAATCAGTTTGAGGAGGTTTATCTTATACCATAGTCAAAAGAGTAAAGTTACTAAAATAACAAAAGGCCTTTCATATCAGATGTTTGATCAATAAGGATTGCCACTGTATCAAGACCAACGATAGAATGATGGTATTATTTCAGTGAAATAAAATTGAAAAAGATTATAGAGATACAGATGAGTTTATCTCAGTAATATCTATTTTTTCCATTCAGATAATACATTGTAACTATAGCTAGACAATTTATCTTATGTAAGTCTAATTTCATATTTATTATTAATGTCTCAAAAACTGACTTATTTTAAAAACTACAACTGTGAAATTAAGATTATCATCTTCTATTTAAATCACACAATGTAAATTATTGGGCTAAAATGTTGTGTTTTAATATTCTATCCATGGCAAAATTGCACTTATATATCAACTAAGTGTTAAAAAATTAACAAATCATTCTAGACTCTAACTCTAGGTAATTGACTCATGAGGGTGGTTACCCTCAAGCTGCTATTCTCATGATAGTGAGTGAGTTCTCATGAGATCTGATGGTTTTATAAGGGGCTTTTCCCTCTTTGCTAATCAATTCTCCTTGATGCTGCCATGTGAGGAAGGATGTGTTTGCTTCCCCTTCTGCCATGATTTTAAGTTTCCAGAGTCCTACTCAGCCATGCTGAACTGTGAGTCAATTAAACCTCTTTCCTTTATAAATTACCCAGTCTCAAGTATGTCTTCATTAGCAGTGTGAGAACAATCTAATATAGGCACCAAGCAGGTATCTAGACTTCATTGTAAATAGTTCCTCACTGTGTTGTTGAAGTTCAAACAAACATATACTTTACCCATTTTTGGGTTTTGGCAAATTAAAAAATTATTAAGTGCCATCATTATGGGCTACATTTTGTCCTCCAAACACACCCAAGTTCATATGTTAAAGTCCCAACCTCAAATGTGGTCATATTTGGATGGTGGGCCTTTAAAAAATAATGAGGTTAACATGAGTTCATTATGGTGGGCCCAAATCCAATATGACTGGTTTCCTTATAAGCAGAAGAAGTAAAGATAAACATACACAGAAGGAAGACCATGTTAAGACACAGCAAGAATTGGCAAGCCAATAAGAGGGTCTCAAAAAAACAAAAAACCCTACCCACAGTTTAATCTCAGGATTTCTAGCCTCCATACTAAGAAAATAAATTGCTGTTGTTTAAGCTACCCAGTGTATGGCATTATATTATGGCAGTTCTAGCAAACAAAAATAATCATATATATGTAACATATTTGGTACAACTGAGAGGAGAAAGAATGATACAAATACATATTTGCCTCATTAAGATAATTATTTATAAACTAAATTATTTAAATAATTTTAAAAACTAAAGAAAGTATACAAATTAACCTATGAAGAATCTGAAATCACAAAAATAAAAAATCCATAAATTGCTGAATTTGAGGACTGTAGATTAATCTGTTAAATTATCAATTGATATCAGTTATAAAATCATAACTCTACCCAACCCATAGCCAACTTTAAAAGTTATTATTTGTATTAGTTCATTCTCATGCTGCTATAAAGAATGGCATGAGACTGGGTAATTTATAAAGGAAAGAAGTTTAACTTATTTGACTCACAGCTCCAAATGACTGGGGAGGCCTTGGGAAACTTACGATCATGGCAGAAGGAGAAACAAACATGTCCTTCTTCACATGGCAGCAGGAGAGAGAACTGAGAGAGTGCTGAGTGAAAGGGGGAAAAATCTCCTTATAAAACCATCAGATCTCATGAGCACTCATTCACTGTCATGAGAACAGCATGGGGGAACCACTCACATGATCTAATCACCTCCCACAAGCTCCTACCCCTAACCTGTGGAAACTACAATTCAGATTACAATTCAAGATGAGATTTGGGGGAGGACACAGAGCCAAACCATATGATTCTGCCACTGGACCCTCCCCAGTCTCATGTTTTCACATTTCAAAATACAATCATGCCCTTCCAACAGGCCTCCTATGTAATTTGTTGTTGTTGTTGTTGTTGTTGTTGTTGCCAGCAGTACTTTTTTTTCCTTTTTTTGTTTTGTAATACTTTAAGTTCTGGGTACATGTGCAGAATGTGCAGGTTGGTTAAACAGGTATACATGTGCCATGGTGGTTTGCTGAACCCATCAACCCACCATCTACATTAGGTATTTTTCCTAATGCTATTCCTCCCCTAGCCCCCCAACACCCAACAGGCCCCAGAGTGTGATGTTCCCCTCCCTGTGTCCATGTGTTCACATTGTTCAATTCCCACTTATGAGTAAGAACATGTGGTATTTGGTTTTTTGTTCCTGTGTTAGTTTGCTAAGAATGATGATTTCCAGCTTCATCCATTTCTCTGCAAAGGACATAAACTCATCCTTTTTTATAGCTGCATCATATTCCATGGTGTATATTTGCCACATTTTCTTTATCCAGTGTGTCACTGATGAGCATCTGGGTTGGTCCAAGTCTTCCTTATTGTGAACAGTGCTGCAATAAACATATGTGTGTATGTGTCTTTACAGTAGAATGATTTCTAATCCTTTGTGTATATACCCAGTAATGCAATTGTTGGGTCAAATGGTATTTCTAGTTCTAGCTCCTTGAGGAATTGCCACACTGTCTTCTACAATGGTTGAGCTAATTTACATTGCCAATAACAGTATAAAAGCATTTCTATTTCTCCATATTCTCTACAGCATCTGTTTTTTCCTGCCTTTATAATGATCATTCTAACTGGCATGAGATGGTATGTCAATGTGGTTTTGATTTGCATTTCTCTAATGACAAGTGATAATGAGCTTTTTTTCATATGTTTGTTGGCTGCATAAATGTCTTCTTTTGAGAAGTATCTGTCCATATCCTTTGTCC